TTGTAACATTTGTCCTCCATCTCCTTCACCCCCTAACCCCCCACACATACAGTTAGGGTGGCAATAAAAGCAAATAATAAACTGTCTAGTGTCTATACCTGCAACCTGTTTTACAAGCTTGTTCTTTATACCAGTGTTTCTCAAACTTTAATGAATATCCTAGGCATCTTATTAAGATTCTGATTCTCGATTCAGTAAGTCTGGTGTGGGACCCAAGATTCTCCATTTCTAGCAGCTTCCAAAGTGAAGCTGATGCTGCTGGTCCCGGTCCGTGGTCCATACTTTGAATAACAAGGTTTTATAAAACTTCTAAGAGAAACAGCATCTGAGACTCAAACAAAACACACTAAATAACAAAATGGTAATTGTTTCAAAATGTGATGGGATTTGATAGAATTTGAGACGTGCTTTTCTGAACACTAAATACAACAAGTTCTGGAAAGATTGAGTCTCAGTGTATCTATTATCTGTTGCTACACAATAAAATTATTAACTTAAAACAGTATCAGACATTTATTTTGCTCATGAATCTGAAATTTGGGCAGAGCTTTGCCATGACAACTTGTCTCTGTTCCACATGCCCTCAACTGGGACAGTTTAGTTGGAGTTTGGAGGAGACACTTTCAAAATGACTCACTCTTACGGGTGGCAGGTTGGTGCTGGTTTTCATCTGGAAGCTCAGCCAGGTCTGTGGGACAACCATCTTGGTTCCTCTCCATGTAGACCCCTCCCTGGGCTGCTTGGGTTTTCTCATAGCATGATGACTGAGTTCTAAAAGCAAGTATCTCAGGAAAACAAAATGGAAGTACATGGCATTTTCATGGCCTGGCCTCAGAAATAACATAATGTCCCTTTTGCCATTCTTTATTAGTTGAGGCAGTTACAAAGGCCTGCCAGGTTCAAGAAGAGAGACATGAGACTCCACCTCTTGATGGTGAAGTGACAAAATTCCAGAAGAGCATGAGGGATGGGAGATACAATTGTGGTCATCTTTGGGAAATATAATCTGCCATACTCACCAACCCAAAATCCTTTTTGAACAAATAATAAGTTAATCATGACACAAATTTTCTAATTCTAGCCCAACACCATTCCGATTTATATGTATTTTGGGGAAGAAGAAAAGAAATATAGAGCATATTGGAAGAAATTGAGGAAAAGCTAGAAGAATAAGAGATTATCTGATATAGGGTAGGAAAAAACAGGAAGAAAATAGTTGGAAAAGTGAAGAAGGGTGTAGATATAAAAAAAAAAAAAAGGACGTAGGATGCAATCCCATAGAACAGTAGATCTGAATATAAAAACAACTATCACTTTCTTCCCTACCCTCACTCTGCTACCTGTAAAAGAGTGGAGTGGATACTAACCTGATTGGTTGGGAAGCCGAATATGTTACTTACTGCCATTCTCTGGTAGGAAGGAATCAAGATTGGAGCCTAGTACTGGCCAATAATAAATGAATTGAGCTATTTTTCTCTTTTGAAAAATTTATGATAGCAGCAGAGTGAATTCAAACATAAGACCTAAGCTTTCTCAGACAGTTCTCATCTATGGCAAGACCACAGTGTCATTGGAGAGGAATAGGGGCTGGGATCAGAAAGAAGCAACCATACTGTCTGGACCACTTGCTGCATTTGCCAACTTACATTTGCACTCTACAACATGAGGTCTGATTCCAGTGAAAAACACACCAAGGGGCTAGATCGGTACTCATGCAGTTGAAGATCATCATAATCGAATCTTCCAGTTCACACTGAGAAATGCTACTTGTGATGAGACAAGGAAACAAAATATTCTTCTGTTCATGCAAGGCCTTCTAAATTGGCTCCCCACACCTCCACATTTGGTCTCCACACTATCTTGCTGGGTGTGAGCTCTGTGCAAGTTTAAAGTGGTGCAAAAAAAGGCATGTTGCCCTCAATATTTGGTGCTGAAAGTAAGATTCCAATGATGAAACCAAACAATTGCTACCCTGAAACAACACTGCAAAAATGAGAAGGGAATATTTCTACCGCAAATTTCACAATTCCCTTTGAAACAAAACCACTGAGCACACCTATGTATCAGAAACCCAACGCCTCTTAACTCTTGCTCTAAACCTCCCATTGCAGGTTCAAGAGATAAAGACTTCCCTCATGAAGCACTGCTGGCTGGTATGTGAGAAAGTTCCAGTCATCCTATTGAGATGGGTTCCTGGAAGGAAGATGAGGAAAATGATCTGCATTCTTCTTGATTTTTGCCCAAGGCTGTCTGTTCTGTAGGCATCCTGGAGTTCTTCCCAGAAGGCAGATCTCAAAATCTTCAATGCCAGTCATGAAGAAGAGTTCCATTTACTTAACATAATTAAACTTGTTCAATGTTGTATGAATGAAAAGTGCCAGATTAAAAGGAGCAATTGCTGATCTTCACCTACATGTTTGTCCTGAGAGAAAGGACTGCCTCACTCACCATCCCCTTTCATTTCCTACATCAATCCCCTTCTCTTCACCAAGGCGGTCAGGGAGTCTACCAGCGAGCCACCTGATCCAGCCTTGAGATGACTGCCTAGATATGTGACTTTGGGCATGGCAGTTAACTCCTCTATCTGTTGCTCCTATATAGAATTAGAATAAGAATGTTTGTCCCCCCTTATCTTCCTTTGAACTTTGCCTAAAAAAGGCATCACAAAAATGTTGAGGAAATTTTTGCCAGCAACATTTATCGCTGCCCTGTGAGGATACAACATGGGATCCCAACACAGGAAGTTTAGAAATGTGGCCTTCCCTACTACCTTCAGGCATTACCAGAGCAGCATTATCATTAGACACAATATTTTCAAATGTTAAAGAAAATAAACAAAGGATACTCGAAGGTGGAACCATGGTACTAAAAATGAGCAGTTTAGACCTTAAACTTTTTTTAAAAAATGATCTTATGTATTTATTTGAGAAAGAGAGAAAAAGAGTGAGCATAAGTGGGGGGAGGGGCAGAGGGAAAGAGACAGAGGGACAAGCAGACTCCCCACTGAGCAGGGAGCCCAATGCGGGATTTGATCCCAGGACCCCAAGATCATGACCTGAGCAGAAGTTAGGTGTCTAACTAACTGAGCCATCCAGGTGCCCAAGACCTTGAACTTTTAGTACACCACTGCTTCAATTTACTCGCACACTCTCTGATTTTACGTATCAGACATGCCAACCCTGGATAGTACAGATTCTCTTGATCCCCTAACCCACAGAAGAAGAAACTCAGGGTTCACATTCAAGCTGGGAGTTCCAGTTTTAGGGCACATTCAATATTGTTATGCCACATAACAATGTGTGTGTGCCCTATAAATCATAAGCAGCCTTTGATATGGTGCCTACTCTCTCTAAGTCTCTGTATTAGTTTCCTAGAGATAACATAGCAAAATACCTCAGATTGGGTGGCTTAACAACACAAATTAACTTTTTCACAGTTCTGGAGGCTAGAAGTCCAAATTCAACATGTCAGCAGGTTTGGTTTCTCCTGAGGTCTCTTTCCTTGGCTTACAGATGGCTGCCTTCTTGCTGTGTCCTCATGTGGCCTTTTCTCTGTATGTCACTCCCTGGTATCTCTTTGGCTTCTTATAAGGACACCAGTCAGATTGGAGTAAGGACACCATTTTAACTTAGTCACCTCTTTTAAGATTTTATCTCTAAATATAGTCATGTTCTGAAGTTAAGGATTTTAATATATGAATTTGGGGTGGGAATGGGGGAGTGGAGGGATACAATTCAATCCATAACAGCCTCTGTAAAAATGGGCATCATGAGGATTTATGTAAGATGGGGCAGGCAAGAACATGAATGAGAAAATGCTTTATAAATGATAAGTCACCATACAAATATTGTATCATTGATATCATCATTTTGTCATTATAATTATTATTCTCGATGACATATTGTCAGTCTCCTGGGAAATCTGAATTTTTCACCTTTTGAAGAATTATAGCACAGTGGTTAAGAGAACATGCTCCAGAATTAAGATGTCTGGATCCAAATCCGGGCTCCACTATTTGTCAGCTCTGTGACCTTCAGAAATTATTTTAACCTCTCTAAGCCTCAGTTTTCCCATCTGTAAATTAGGGATATAAAAATAATACCTACCTTTTGGGGTTGTTGAAAGGATTAAAAGAGAGAGTGCATCAGAATGACTGATTAATAGCATATGCTCAATTAATGTGGTTGTTAGTAATAGCCATATTTAAAACTTGCTGCGGCTGCTCCTTCTTTCTCAGCCAGCAGAGGTCTCCATCATAGTCAAACTAGGACTAGCTTCCCCATGACAGTCTACACTGCAGCTGCCAGGCACATCCAAGGTTGGCAGAGAAAGGAGTGAAAGAATTGCCACCCTGTCTGAAGGAAGAAGAGCAAGAGAACAGGGAATGGCTAAGATTCCATGGTAGGATGCTATATGAACAGGTGACCATAGTAAGATTAAGTTCTAGTGCTGCTTCAGAGACTTACTGACATTGCCCTTAATTGCATCCCACTTTAGCTAGTTCTAAAGTTGAGTTAAGAAAACTTACTCACATATGCCTCAGAAAAGCAGTGAGAATGAATCGGCAAATGTTTTTGCAGAGTTCTCTGAATGCAAGGAGTGATGCTAAACAAATATTTAACATTTCTCACAGTATTAAGCTTATCTCATCTTTTTATCACCAGTTATATTCCATGCCTCAGTTCTGCTTCCACTGTAATATATTTCCTTTAACCTTCTTTTCCCAGACAGGCTTACACCTCCAAGTTCAATTATTCTGTCAATTGTGTTTTAAATTGTACTGATTTATATTAACCACTTGGTATCAATTTGTTGATCTGTTGCTTCTTCTGTACCAATCATCTTTACACCCACCAAAAGCTGCCCTGGCAATTAAGCTGAGGAAGGTTAGAATTATTCAAGAGAAATTAAAGCATAGAAGGAAAGACAGTGGAATGACTGGGATAAAAAGAGCACTGGGGGGAAAACACACATGTACTAAAAAAGCATAGCACGCAGCAGATAGAGGCTCAGAGGGAAAAGAGGAGAGCGAGATAGAAAACGGATCCTGCTTCTGCCTGTTAGACCTCGCTTTCAGCACCAAGGACAGAGCCTCTGAAGGGCTGACCCAAGCACTGATCAGTTTAAGGGTCCCTCCCAAATCCTCTAGAGAAAACGCATGAATTTGAAAGCAGCTATGAAGCATGCAGTAAGGTCTAATAGGAAAGCTGTAAGAGCAGCCCACAAGTGATTTCACCTTAGAGGCAAAAATGGGTGATTTTCTTTTTGTTCATCTCCACAGTTTCTGTGTCCTTGGAAAGGCAAAGTTTGCTTTGCTTGGCCATGTCTGCTGTCAGTAAGTGACTGCAGGAGCTGAGGTGCTAAACTCCACAGTCTCCAGAAATCAGAAGAAATTTTCAGGGTAAGTAATTTTTCTTTTTGTTTCCAATTTAATACACAGCATTTTCCTGGAAGGTTATTTAACCAGCTTGGGGTTCTGTGGTTCTCTAAGAATATGCATTAAAACTCTGTACCCTCTCTTATTTAAAAACCTGAAGCCCTAAGGAAACTGTTTTCATTTTTTCCTCATTTTTTGACAATAGAAACCTGTTCTCTTTCTCTTTTTCCCCCAAAATTAGATCCTTGTGGGCTCTAGAAACTATATCAAGGCAGAATTAAAAGATGGAAAATAAAAGCTGTTACTATCCCTGGGATTTGAATGGAAGTTGATTGTATTCCCCTTAAGGGTCTTACTTAATGGTAAGGGTCTGTTATTTTAAACTCCCCAATTTAGCATCCTGGTAATCCAGGGCTGAGGGTTTGGAGAGGCACTGTTTTCAATGGTCTATTTAAAGACAGGCTGTTTCCAAGTCATAATCCAATTATTCCCAACAGAGATATGCAGTACTTGAGATGATGATTGTGTATGTTTTCTTTAATGATAGCATATGATTTTGAGGATATTGTTGTTTTTTAATTGTTGGACTTTCATTACTTATTGTAGCTTATTGGGTCAACGGAAGTCATTGCAATTAGGCATTTTTCCAGTTCATACATTTAGTTTAATCGAATACTATCAAAATGCACACACAAATAATAAAGCAGCAATAGCAAAGTGGAACTTGGATTCTAAACTCATTCTGCATGTCTGTTTGCACTTTATAGGGGAAGCCCTTTGCTTACTGATGCTAAAAGGTCAGTAAGATGTCTGTCCTTGGGTATTAGTGAAGAATCGCTGCTTGACACACCATTGGATCTCTTGTAGCCAAAGAGAAGCAAATATCATATGAAAAAGATCCTTGCCCAGACACTTGTTTATTTTTAGTTGAACATTTTCAAAGGTCTGCATGGCTAGCAGTGAGCAGGCGTGTCAAGCAAGGAAAATACTGACAGTATCCAAATGAATGCCTGATATTAAAGCATCTATACAGAAGGCTGCTTATTATGGAATATGAATTAAAGCAAATACCAAATAGATCTTACCCATTATTAAATTCAATATCTAATGCACTGAAGTTTGCCACTGATTAATATTTGCTTATTGATTGATCCATTGAGTTCCCATTTTATCTCTGCTTAAAATGATAAAATGCTTGGTGATTCAAAGTTGTTATGGAAAGTGGGAATTCTCTGTTTTATGGGGCAGGTTTAATTTGAGGGGAAAAAATGTATATAACCTTAGCTATTGGATCTCATTGGCCAGCTATGGTTTTTCTCTATACATTTGCCAACAATGTAAATATGCCCAAATATATAAATATGCTATATATTTTAATGCCTTTGTGAATCTTCATTAGGAAAGTAAACTAGACAGCAATTTTCAAGAATAAAGTGCCATAGAAATGCTAAAGACTACCTCTAATAATAATGACAATGTACCTCCCACTGTTTCTATGTACAGTGTGCACCTGCATTGACTTCACGGAGCTTGGTCAGGTGCTCTGAAAAAGCAAGGTTTTAAAATGAGTCTCCATTTCAACTTTGTCTCCTTCCCCTTAATAGTGGAGTAGTTAAGAACGTAAAGTCTAGAAACAGGTAGATCTTGGGTTGAATCAGCTCCATCATTTATTGTTGTATGACCCCAGCAAGATAATTAACCTTTCTATTACTTACTTTCTTCATCTGCAAAATGGGGGTAATAATAGCACCTACTTCCTTTATCAGTTGTTGTGAGGTTTAAATATGATAATGATTATAAATTTTAGCTATAATTATTAACTTTTCAGACAATATAGAAAGTCTATATTGAAGCCCAGAACAAGAAAAGCTTTGTAGACTAGGTCAGGATGTAACTGATGGCAGAAGACAGGGATCTGATGCAAGTGAAGAGCTGGTCACAGAACCCTGCTTTTAAAGTGTTCTGTTCTGGGTTTAGGAAAAGCCTTCTCTAACTGGAAATGACTCCATACATCAATGTCTACCCCCAGCATAGACACATTAAATAAGTTGTGAATTTGATATTTAAGGATTCCCAAGATCAAAGCTAGGCTCAATACAGCCCCCTACACATTATATAATCTTGAGAAAGTTACTGAACCTCTCTTTGACTCAGTTTTTTAATCTATAAAAAAGGGATATCAATATCCAACTTCAGGGCTGCTATAAATATTAAAATGAGATAATATGTGTAAAGTACTAGTACCCTGCACACGGTAGTAAACAGAAGAGATGGTGACCACTGTCTTCAGAAGGAGGTTTTTTTTTTGTGTTTCGTTTTTGCCTAATTCAATATTCTTAAGGAAAGGGAACAAATAATTAAAACCTGGTAATCCTTAATGAGTATCTTCCTAACGTGCCTGGTGTGGAACTGAGTGCCAAAGAGGCACCCCACAAACATTCCAGGCAGAATGTAGCTCAGCACTGAGGGACTGAATATCAGTGAGGCCAGATGTATGTCATAGCTGATGGGTATCTGACTACTCTCTGTCCCTCTACTTTTCACAAAATAAATTATGCACTCACCTTCAGAGATGCTAGAATAAACTATAAAGAGCAAGATAAATCAATACTTTGTAAGAAGTTCAAAGGCTCATTAAAATTTGTGAATAGTGTTATATATAATGAATCTTAAAAGAGTAAGACCAGCCATAATCTTCTAGTCCTTGCCTTCTCCACTTTCTCACCCCTCGACCATCCTTAACTACTAACACTCTTTGCTCAGGTCACCAGTAATCTCCTAATTTCCAAGTCCATTAGCCACTCTGCAATTGTAGCTTACTTGACCCCTGCACTTATTCCCACTTCCCCTTTAACAATAAAAGCCACAGTACTTCAAGCACTTGTGCCAGCATTAGGTTAAAGCCATGATTCTCAATTGGAAGAACAATTTTGTCCCCCAAGAGACATTTGACAATGTCTGGAGACAGTTTTGGCTGTCACAACCTGGGTGAAGGGGAGTGCTACTGGTACTAGTATGTACAAGTCAGGGATACTGCTAAACATCCTATAATGCACAAGACAACGTCCCCCTCCAAAAAAAATTATCCAGCCCCAATTGTCAGTAGTGCCAAGACTTTGCATATATAATATTATTTGATCTTCACAATAACTCCATGGAGTGGGTATGATATCCACATTTTGCTGACGAGGAGACCAGGCTATCAGTATGAATTACTTAAAGAGTGATTATTAAGTTAACAAATTCTTCAGGCTTCCTGCTTCTCTCTACCTGAAACCAGTTTGCTACCTGGTAATATATTTATCAGAGGGAAAAAGAAAGGAAAAAGCCCAACCCAGCTCTGTGTTATATAAGCAATGCTGGTTTAAAAAAAAAAAAAAAGACGAAAGAAAGCTCTAAGGAGGGAGAGAGTTGAAACAATTAGCTGAGAGGCGGGGAGTAATCCAGCCTTTCACTCACTTTGTTTCCGTCCGCCACAGCAACTTATCAGGAACTGCCTGGACAACCAAGGCTTACACCCACCTAGTACTACACCAAACCTAAGACCAGCGACAATACAATGCAAAAATAATAATAAATCGGAAATCCATGCAAATATGATTCCAACATCAGGCTCACAATCGATTTTCAGAGTTAAGGGTTTCCTTTTGTTTAATTAGCCATTGACAGTCAGCTGTACGATCTTTAAGTAGCTGTCAAACCTCAACAGAGTAAAAAGTCCAAGATGGTAACAAACATCCCCAAGGTTTTGTGCTTCCATCTTACCCATCAGGCAAGATCAGGCTAAGACATCATTAGCCAACTACAGACCCCACGAAACACTGATTTCTGGCCACTGTTTTCCCAACTGGTCCAGTTGCAGAAGGAAAGGTGTTCTGGGTCTGAGCTGGCCTCAAAGGTAGAAATATCCGCGAACAATCAGAAAGCATTGTATTTTTCAAAAAGCTCTTGGCAGCAGTGTTGCTATCTCCAGGGTAGCAGCTGCCCTTTCCAAATAATGAGAAAATTATAATTATTATCAAAAACTATTATTATGTTTTAAAATTTATTGAGTACAAACAGTGTGCCAAGATAAAGAACAATTTTCTTTAAAACAATTCTCTGAATTCATTCCAAGTCGGCCCCTTACAATCATTTGTTCATTTTAACACTTACACATTCCAGGATGAAACATTTCAAAATGAGGCACAAAATGACATACATGATTAGGCCAATTCCCTCGTCGACGGGGGAGCTGCAGATCCCTAAGATTGGTTACTAATTCAAAAAATGTTTAACCCCTATGAAGTCCCTTCTCCTCCAACCCCAAAATCCCATGTCCATGGGCCAATGAACCATGATCATAAATTTTCAACTTCTGATGTGGTTCAAAGCCCTCACTTTTCAAACAGAGAAACTGAGACCCAGAGAGATGAATATCTTAAGTCATAAAGCTTATTAGAGCCAGAACTAGCATGCAGGCCTTCTGATTCTTTAAAAACTCTCCTTTGGCATCTGAAAGCCATAACAACGGACCTGTCAGCATCCCACTGGGATGAACGAAGGAGGTTTCAAGTAAAATTCCACACATGGATTTTTCCCTAAGTATAAAAACCACTGCACTGCCTCTATACTCTTGAGTTTTTCTCCCACAAGCCAGCATCCCACACCTACCACGCCCCACGCAAGATACAAGAGAGATATGGGAAACTAAAGGCAGAGACAGAGGGAGGCAGGGGAAAAGGCAAATGGGGGCCACAGAGGAGGGTAGAGAGAAAACAAGGAAAGGGGGATGGGAAGCTCAGAGAAACAGACAGGTAAGAGAAAATAGCTTTCTAGGTATCATAGCTTTCAATGTCTTACATATTTAATAGCTCACTTAATCCTCACAAAAAAAATTTATGGGATGGATTACATTGTTTCCTCCACTCTACAGAGGAGGAAAATGAAGCTCAGAGAGGTGCAGTAACATGCCCAAGGCCCAGCACTAGGAAGTGGCAGAGCTGGGATTCTCATCCTGCAACAGCTCTCCATCTCACTCAGAGTCCAAGCATAGCTCTTTCAATGGTCCTGCACAACCTCTCCATCCCACTTGGCTCCAGCCACTCTGGTCTCCCTTTTGCCTTCCACACACCAGCCTGTCCTGCCTTTGTACCTGCTATCCCTTTTGCTTGGACCACTCTTCCTGCAGATATCTGTATGGTTGGCTTCCTCATGTCCTCCAGGTCTTGACTCAGTTGTCACCCTCTCCACAAGGGCTTCCTGATTACCCTGATTAAAAATTTCCCTCAGATACCCTAGGCACACACACAAAATCCTGCCCATCTCCTTACCTCCTTCTCTGATTTATCATTCTCCAAAATGCATATCATTATCAAACATACTACATCCTTCATTTATCTCATTTCTTACTGTATTCTCCTCCATACTATATCCTTTATTTATCTTACTTCTTACTGTATTCTCCTCCCTCAGTGGGCCCCAACATGAGGGCAGGAATTTTTTTTTCATTGCTGTATTTCCAGTGCATAAAACAGTACCAAGCATATAGGAAGTGCTCCATAAATATTTGTTGAAACAATACATAAAAATGTACCCAAGCAGCCAAGCTCCAAAGAGTCCAGTTTTACCACATTGTTTTCTGTCTCCTTCCAGGAAATCCACTGGGGTCACTCTTCTCCCTCTGGGCTATGGCGCCTCTGAGCCAGCTGAGCAGCCAGATCAACTCCACCTGTGGGGCAGAGAACTCCACAGGGGCCAGCCGGGGCCGCCCACATGCCTACTATGCACTCTCCTACTGTGCGCTCATCCTGGCCATCGTCTTCGGCAATGGTCTAGTGTGTGTGGCAGTGCTGAAGGAACGGGCTTTGCAGACCACCACCAACTACCTGGTGGTGAGCTTGGCTGTGGCAGACCTGCTGGTGGCCACCTTGGTGATGCCCTGGGTGGTGTACCTGGAGGTGAGTGAGCCCCAGCTGCAGGCTGCCTGTGTGACCATACTTGTCTTTGTCTTCCCTGAGTTCCTGGCCTTCTGGGCTCAAAATGCTCCCTGCCACGATCCTGGGACTAGGAAGGAAGGAGGGCTCCTGTCATTCTCCCTTTCCTAAGGGAACTGAAGGCCTGAGAACAGCCATTATCTGACATCACTTGCCCACATCAGAACCAAGGAGCCAGGAATGATTGTGTTCCTGGGTCTCCAGCATCCAGGTGACTGGGCTTGAGTGATGCTACTCATCCTAAAAATGCATCAGGTTTAATCTCTGTGCCAATCATGTCTCAGGGATGTGGGGGGTTGAGGGAGGCAGTCCGTGGGCATCTTCATCAGTGTTTCAATGTACATAGAGGGATGGGGAACTGCTGGACTGATGCAGGACAACAGTGAGGGTGGAAGGGGGTGCAGAAGGAATTACAGAAAAACAAACAAAAAAATTTTTTTAATGAATAAGAGGAAAAGAGAGAAAAAACAGTCTGCAAATAGATCAGACTTCTTTTGATAGTTTAGTTACCCTTAGACTCAGCTCTTTCCTCCTGGGTACCAGCTCTCTACAGAGTCTGCTACCAAACAGACCAAACCTTCACATTTATATTTTTGATGCCTCCATTAATAGTACAGAGCCCTCGCCAGTCAGATAATGCAGCAGACCCTGGAGAATTCTTCTGGAAAGAAACATTTCTTCAATTTGAAAGTATTTTCATTTGAAAGTGCAAAACAGAGTCAGGAGGTGATCAAGACAAAACATCCATTTACTAACAAAGGAATCAGGGTGCCTACACCTGTTCAAGAAACAGATATTCTTACCAGGAAAACATGCAATTACTAAAGAGTTTTTTCAAAACACTTTAATGTACTATTAATATGTCCCTCCTGCACTGTGTATCATGTATCATTTTAAAGAGGTATCCAATGAAGGATCAAAATGATGCTATGATTAAGAGAAATTAAAATTCATCAAATTAATATCTCAGTTAATATTAATAGTGAAGGTGACAGTTAATTAAGTATGACATATCACAGGAGAGCAAAAACCTCAAACATAGACCGCCTAGGCTGCTACCCCTATTAAAGAATGACTGGGAACTAAAATTAGACTTATGATCTCAAAGGGAAAACATAAAGGAAAGAAATCAAGAAAATAGAAAAGGAAAGGAAAAGCAGAAAAACATCTAGGCTGATTGGGATAGATGTAAAGGCTAAGGGAAGAGTTGGAGAAAAAAACCAAGCATTAATTTTTCCCTGTTAGAATAATCTTGATGGCAAAAGATCTTGTAATTATCTTGACTTTTCTGTCAACCCAAACTGAGACAACCTTGAAGTCAGAAGCTATGTCTTTGTTCTTTTTTTTTTCCTATAGTCTAAACACACTACCTGGCACATAATACGTGCTAAATAAATATTTGCTATATGAATGATTAAATGAATCTTTTCTGTAATGTATGCATTAGATGGGCAATTCCTGCTTATACCATTTGCAGCTATATCTATTGTTTCAATGAACTGTTTATTTTTTTTACATTCAATAATAATGAGACTGAAAAGGAGTTAGATAACGTGATATTTCTCCTCGAGAATAAGGCAGATTTAAAGTGCTACAAACCAGTATGGATTAGTTAATGATTCATAACACCACCATCCCACACCTCAAAGTGTTTCTGTCCACCCCTATACATTACAAGGTTTCTTTTTTTTTTTTTTTAAAGTTTTATTTATGTATTCATGAGAGTCAGAGAGAGAGAGAGGCAAAGGGAGAAGCAGGCTCCCCGCCTAGCAGGGAGCCTGATGCGGGACTCGATGCCAGGACCCTGGGATCATGACCTGAGCCGAAGACAGATGCTTAACCATCTGAGCCACCCAGGCGCCCCCATTACAAGGTTTCTTAAGTCTTTCAGAAGGCTGAATGCCAGAAAGAAATACAGGATGAAGACCTTCACTCTAATAAACATTTTAATTTAATTGCCTCTGAAATAAAACCAGTCTTTTGGTATCTATAACAAAGCCACTCAAGGTCCCTCTTCAACTGTCCATTTGGGGTTGCTTCCAGGACTCTGGATAGACCATATTGGAAAATCTCTGTAGATACTGGTGTAGGATATTGACATTGTGATTTTTCCATGCTAGACACCCATGGCATCCCCTGCTAGCCACACCTGCCAAAATTGATGATGTCCCCCTTCTGCTGAGCATAGAAGAGCAACTGAGCCCACAGAGAGCCAGCATGAAATGTTACCAAAGGCTTGCTGGACTCTCTGCAGGGTGGATTTATGAGTTTTCTCCTATGAGCTTTGGTGAAGCTCTTGGTTCCCCATCATAAAAATGAATACGCATTCTGTCCAACAGGTTCTTTGGTGCAAGTGTTCAGTAATCAAGAGCATGGTCAAATAAGTCTGCAATCACATAAAGAAGATTTGGGAGACATCTCTCTACTGGGAAATGGGCTTTGGGACCTCTTTTTGGTCTTCCCTACTTGCTTTAAAGCTCTAGTCAATGCTACTTAATATTTCTGTACCACTTTCGCCAATAGTCCACTAAGGGTCTCTATCAATAAAAGAACATGACTTAAAGCAACCATAATTAACAGACAACCAGTTAAGATATTAGGAAGGTTCTATTCCAAAGGAGTGGGTCTCCCTAACCCACCATAGTATATGCTTTTTTTCATCTTCAATACCTGCCTGCTTTCTGTAGACCTGAGAAGCAGACAGGGTATCTCAATGAGAGAAGAGAGTACCTTGAGCCCTTAAAAGGACTGTGGATGTATAAGTCCATGTGTCTCAAAGAAGAGCAAAGCATTACTCACACTAACTTGTCCTAATGGTGGTACAGTTTGAGTAACTGGTCTAGTAATTACATGATTATACCTAAGGGCTCCCTTGGAAAGAGGAAAGGATGCAGTGTTGACCATAGCATAGAGACTGCTGTAAGGCTTGAGGGCCCCCAAGAGGACAGCACAGAAATGAAAAGAACACCATGCAGTGGCCAAATTAACTGCCAAATTCACAGCTTCCTATGCTTTGATTTGAATACATCTATCTTCTTTGAAGGAAATATTGGCTCATACTGGCCAGATACCTTCCTTCGAAGGAAAATTGCCTAATTTTTCCAGGCACCAGTATGTATGCTGTAAATATTGGAAAACTTTACTCACTGTGACTTAAACAAATAGGCGTTACTTTTCTCACAGAACCAGAATTCTGGAGGAAGGGGATTGTTGGTGTTGATTCAGCTGCCCCATGGTGTCATCAAGGACCAATCTCTTCCATCCTTGGCAAACTGGCTTACTTCCTCATGCTGCTCACAGGATGGCTGCCATGGCCCTCAGCATCATGGCCGTATTCAAAAATAGGATGGATGGGGACAGCGGAGAAAGAGAGAGAGAGAAAGGGGGAAAAAAGCCCTTTCCCTGGAGCCCTTCAAAGCATCTCCTAAAGGACTTCCCTTAAGTTTAATTAGCCAAAATTGGATCATAAGGGAAGGAAACAGGGGAGGATAGAAAAGAAAGTGAAAATGTGGGTTTTATTTAAAAAGAGGATGTGGTATGAGGAATTGATGGGAGATGGGCAAATAAAATGTCACAGAACACTGTGCTTCTGGAATTCACTGGGATTGCACAGGGTTATGCTATGAGAAAGACTCAGAACTGGAAGTCAGAAGACCAGGAATCAAGTGAATAAAATGGAGGTGACAGGAATACTTTTCCTATCTCATAGGCTTGATGTTAGGCTCAACTGTCATCAACCTCGAAAGTGCTTTGATAACTCAAAGGTGTGAACTATAAATATCTCAGTTAAGACACTTTTAGTAGTAAGTAAAAGAAAACTTAGTTCCAACTCACTTAAGCAATAAACAGAATGCCTTTTTCTTTCACACCAGGGACTTTAAAAGTCCTGTGGTAGGGTGGGCTGCAGGCACAGTTTGAACAGGGCTCCAGCTCCATTTCTCCTCAACTCTCTCAGCTCTCATCTCTGTATTGGCCTTATCCACAGCATAGGGTAAGTTAGAGGCCTCACATGTGTACACCACACTATTCACACCAAGAGAGAAAATCTGTGTCCCAGGATTTCTAGTATAAGTGCTAAGGTATACTTCGATTAGACTGGCTTCTGGCCCATGATTTTCTCTGAACTAATCACTGGAGAGAAGAGTTGGTTTAGCAGAGGATGATGTGTTCCTTCCATGGCACACATCAAAGACCTGCTCAGGAATTTCATGGTTTCCCAGTGGAATCCAAGGACTATCGGAACGAAGGCAGAGGACAGCCAGCATGGACACACCACAGTGGTTTTCACGGCACCATCCTCTTCATTCAGGCACACGGGAGCCTGGGCTTGGGCAGGGGGACTAGCAGGGGCTACTCACTGACCTTCAGTTTTCTTTGTCCTCAGGCCTAGCAGAGAAGTTCAGGATAAAAATCATGCAGGTGATCTCAGAGTAGGTTATATCTCAGCGGGCTCTGGCCTGGCTGTCTCTTTAATTCAGTTTGCAGCATTTTCTCGAAAACTCTTTTCTGTTCCATAACAAATAGTTCTCTCTCTGATTCCCTCTCAAGTTTTTAATTTCCTGCTTTAGAAGCTGCAGTCTGTGTGGAGCTCCCTCTCCAAGCACAAACATCCCATTTTGTTCCACTCGGTTAAGCACCTTTTGTGATGTTTAATGCACTTATATCAGGGCAGAAAGGCAACGTAAGCAGCCGGAGGAACCTTTAGAATACTAAACTCAGACCACTTGGGTCCCAGTGTGGACAGGAAAAACGACGTGAGAACTGAGTACTGTACACCAAGCAAAAAAGAGCAGGGGGGTAGCATTGAGGCAGGGAAACCCACCACAGACACTGATCAAGGTCAGATAATGATGGGAAAGAACAAAACTGTTTTGGGAGAGAGGAACCTTTGACCCTTGTAAGGACACTGATTGTAAAAATAAAGGAGAATCTGCATTTTCAATGGGTTCTTCCATGACTCTTAT